CACACACACACACACACACACACACTGTTCCCTGGACACAAGACAAATATGGAGTCACAGCTGACGGAGAACCCCCAAACAAACATTGGGAAAACATCCACTCTAATCCAAATATATATAAAAATGTTGGGCCCAGTATTGAAACTGAAAACACTGGAATAGAAGACTAGTCTTTATACTGGGAGTAATGAAATGTATAACTGAATGTAACACGTAAAATGTTTTTTACCTGTTGCTGCTGAAGGGCTTCATTCATCAGCAGTTTGAAAACACGATAATAAATCTTATATGAGAGACCTAAGATTGTTTAGAAATAAGAGAGACTCATGTATGAGGCCACCTCCTGTCTGAAGACACAATCTGTCTTCAACTCCCTGTACAGCTGACGAAACAACACGCTTCAACTTGTTTGTTTAACTCGAGCAAAACCACGAAGAGAAGTCACAACATAAAAACAAACCAGGAATCCTTGAATTCAGAGAAAAGCAACAACACACACACACACACACACACACACAAGATCTCCACTTTGACTTTGGCCGTGGGGCTGTCTGTGACAAGGACACTCAGCTATTAGTCGTCGTTTGCACACTGCTTGGACAATTTAGCTATTCAAATAGAGGCTGCTGGCTGGGAAACAGCTCCTTAATGAAGAGATGGCCTGGTAATGGGCCATAAATCTATTCTTTTATTCTCTGCCACACACTCATAAACACACACACTGCCTGTTTGCATATAGAACCATTATGTACACGTACGCATGTGCACTCTTTAAAGGCACAGTTTTACACACACACACACACACACACACACACACACACACACACACACACACACACAGGGGCTGGATTATATTATAATGCGCCGTGGAGGAAAGTGAGAGCAATTTTGGCCACGCAAACCAAAAAGGTCAAAACGCAAATGTCAGCTTTTCCTCCTTCCTTATTAATTATTCTGTCAGGTTCAAAGAGTCGTCGTCAGAAAGGAGCCACTCCGACAAAGGAAGGCCTGAGCTCACAGATAAGCTCAATCAGCGTCTCCTCTTGACACTGTCTTCTCTATACGTAGACTATACTCTCTCTCTCTCTCTCCCACACACACACACACACTTTAGCATTACCTCAAAGTAAATTACAATGTATAACTACGACCAAAGAGACGAGTCGGCAATTACCAGCCGACAGGGGATGTTGAGTCAATTAATTTCTGCAGTGGAGTGTCATCTTGTTTGCTGATTTTAAAAACTCAGTCAATACAAGATTAAAGTCCAGTATTGTTGGTCTGAGTCAATCACTGCCAACAAGTGAAGGGACACTCCAATATGTTCATACAGAGAAATTTAATTAAGATAAAAACAAAGAGACAGAAAGAGGACGGGTCCTGCAATGGACTGGTGACCTGCAGGGTGTGCCCCACCTCTCGCCCAGTGTCAGCTAATTGGCTCCAGGGTCCCGTGACCCTAACAGGACAAGATGAGGATGGATAGATAAAGATAAAAAAATAATTCACTGCAACACTGTCAAAGTTCACCAAAGTTGAGCTCCACGTGAAGCCCCACTGTGATTTGCTTTGCAATAGGAATCGAACGTTTGCCTCCTCGCCCGCACAGATTGGAAGTGAGGTACGACACATTTGCCGATGTGAGAGTGCCCTCAATACGCACGGAACCGTGGGAATGTCTGTGTTAAAAACAGTGAGTCATTTCATTTCATATCTTTCACATTTGGGTTTTCTTTCACCACTTGAATTATCTTCACGGTCAAACTTTTCTTTTTCTTGTGAATATAAAATGTCAACTGTTTTGAAAGTTGAAGTTTTAATGTGAAGGCAAAAAATATTTTCATCTGCTGAACAGTGTTGTTTTATATTCATGTGACTTGTGTCTGAATCTGTCCCTCTGCAGCTCACTATCTCTCTCTCTCACTCACACACACGCTCTCTCACATCCACACATTTTGTGACAGGAAAAATTATTTGACAACCATTGTCCTATTTTATAAAAACACTTTTTTTTACTTCCTGCACAAGACAGGAGCTCGTACGTGTAGAGCTGCTGGCCTCAACCCTCTGTAGAGCTTTCCTCGTCTGTACCTGTTCATGGTGGGTTTGCAGGCAGGTCTGTTAGTCCAGAGGTTTGTACAAATGGCTCAGTACTTAAGAGTATCATTATGTTGTGTAATAGCACATTGATTGCCGTCCTCCTCCAGATGAACAGTGGTTACTGTGTAGTTATAAAATGAGGTGATGGTCGTGTCGTCCGTCTTCTTCAGATTCAACATGTTCCCCCTCAGGGGACACATTGATTTAATTACACTGTTTATAATCACGTCCCTTAAGATGATCCTCACTTGTCTCTTTACCTCGGATTCAGTGACAATGGGTTTGAGACCATTACTTGATAAACTCTCTCTCTCACACACACAAAAGAGAGACAGAGAGAGAGAGAGACACAAGGTCACAGAGCTCATGCCAGCTGATAACAGGAGGCTCGACCGGGCCGAGCTGGAGACTGGTCTTGCCGTGTGATTTCGCCACATACATCAACTCTGCTGAGCAGAAAATTGAAATGGAAATGTGGGCCTTGAAAGAGCGTGCCTCCCA